CCATTCCATTCCATCCATTCCATCCATTCCATCCATTCCATTCCATCCCATCCATTCCATTCCATTCCATCATCCATTCCCATTCCATTCCATTCCATTCCATTCCATTCCATTCCATTCCATTCCATTCCATTCCATTCCAATCCATTCCATCCATTCCATTGCCATCCATTCCATTCCATCCATTCCATTCCATTCCATTCCATTCCATTCCATTCCAACATTCCATTCCATTCCATTCCATTCCATTCCATTCCATTCCATTCCATCCATTCCATTCCATCCATCCATCCATTCCATTCCATCCATCCATTCCATTCCATTCCATTCAACCATTCCATTCCATTCCATTCCATTCCATTCCATCCATTCCATCCATTCCATTCCATTCCATCCATTCCATTCCATCCATTCCATTCCACCATTCCATTCCATTCCATCCATCATCCATTCCATCCATTCCCATTCCATTCCATTCCATTCCATTCCATCCATTCCATTCCATTCCATTCCATCCATTCCATTCCATTCCCCATTCCATTCCATCCATCCATTCCAATCCATTCCATTCCATCCATTCCATTCCATTCCTTCCATTCCATCCATTCCATTCCATCCATACCATTCCATTCCAAGTCCATTCCATTCCATTCCATTCCATTCCATTCCATTCCATTCCATTCCATTCCATTCCATTCCATTCCATTCCATTCCATTCCATTCCATTCCATTCCATTCCATTCCATTCCATCCATTCCATTCCATTCCATTCCATTCCATTCCATCCATCCATTCCATTCCATTCCATTCCATCCATTCCATTCCATTCCATCCATTCCATTCCATTCCATTCCATTCCATTCCATTCCATTCCATTTCCATCCATCCATTCCATTCCATTCCCATTCCATTCCATTCCATTCCATTCCATTCCATTCCATTCCATTCCATCCATTCCATTCCCATTCCATTCCATTCCATTCCATTCCATTCCCATTCCATTCCATTCCATCCATTCCATTCCATTCCATCCATCCATTCCATCCATTCCATTCCATTCCATTCCATTCCATCATCCATTCCATTCCATCCATTCCATTCCATCCATTCCATTCCATTCCATTCCATTCCATCTTCCATTCCATTCCATTCCATTCACTCCATTCCATTCCATCCTTCCATTCCATTCCATTCCAATCCATTCCATTCCATTCCATTCCATCCATCCATTCCATCCATTCCATTCCATTCCATTCCATTCCATTCCATTCCATTCCATTCCATTCCATTCCATTCCCATTCCATTCCATTCCATTCCATCCATTCCATTCCATTCCATTCCATTCCCATTCCATTCCATTCCATTCCATTCCATTCCATTCCATTCCATTCCATTCCATTCCATTCCATTCCATTCCATTCCATTCCATCCATCCATTCCCATTCCATTCCATTCCATTCCATTCCATTCCATTCCATTCCATTCCATTCCATCCATTCCATTCCATTCCATTCCATTCCATTCCATTCCATTCCATTCCATTCCATCCATTCCATTCCATTCCATTCCATTCCATTCCATTCCATTCCATTCCATTCCATTCCATTCCATTCCATTCCATTCCATTCCATCCATTCCATTCCATTCCATTCCATTCCATTCCATTCCATTCCATTCCATTCCATTCCATTCCATTCCAATCCATTCCATTCCATTCCATTCCATTCCATTCCATTCCATTCCATTCCATTCCATTCCATTCCATTCCATTCCATTCCATTCCATTCCATTCCATTCCATTCCATTCCATTCCATTCCATTCCAATTCCATTCCATTCCATTCCATTCCATTCCATTCCATTCCATTCCATTCCATTCCATTCCATTCCATTCCATTCCATTCCATTCCATTCCAGTCCATTCCATTCCATTCCATTCCATTCCATTCCATTCCATTCCATTCCATTCCATTCCATTCCATTCCATTCCAGTCCATTCCATTCCATTCCATTCCATTCCATTCCATTCCATTCCATTCCATTCCATTCCATTCCATTCCCATTCCATTCCATTCCCATTCCATTCCATTCCATTCCATTCCATTCCATTCCATTCCATTCCATTCCATTCCATTCCTTCCATTCCATTCCATTCCATTCCATTCCATTCCATTCCATTCCATTCCATTCCATTCCATTCCATTCCATTCCATTCCATTCCATTCCATTCCATTCCATTCCATTCCATTCCATTCCATTCCATTCCATTCCATTCCATTCCATTCCATTCCATTCCATTCCATTCCATTCCATTCCATTCCATTCCATTCCATTCCATTCCATTCCATTCCATTCCATTCCATTCCATTCCATTCCATTCCATTCCATTCCATTCCATTCCATTCCATTCCATTCCATTCCATTTCCCATTCCATTCCATTCCATTCCATTCCATTCCATTCCATTCCATTCCATTCCATTCCATTCCATTTCCATTCCATTCCATTCCATTCCATTCCATTCCCATTCCATTCCATTCCATTCCATTCCATTCCATCCATTCCATTCCATTCCATTCCATTCCATTCCATTCCATTCCATTCCATTCCATTCCATTCCATTCCATTCCATTCCATTCCATTCCATTCCATTCCATTCCATTCCATTCCATTCCATTCCATTCCTCATTCCATTCCATTCCATTCCATTCCATTCCATTCCATTCCATTCCATTCCATTCATCCATTCCATTCCATTCCATTCCATTCCATTCCATTCCATTCCATTCCATTCCATTCCATTCCATTCCATTCCATTCCCATTCCATTCCATTCCATTCCATTCCATTCCATTCATTCTATTCTATTCTATTCTATTCTATTCTATTCTATTCCATTCTATTCCATTCTATTCTATTCTATTCTATTCTATTCTATTCTATTCTATTCTATTCTATTCTATTCTATTCTATTCTATTCTATTCTATTCTATTCTATTCTATTCTATTCTATTCTATTCTATTCTATTCTATTATATTATATTCTATTCTATTCTATTCTATTCTATCTTTCGCCACTAACTTAGATCAGATTGAATCGCGGCATGTTTGAATAATCGCAAAGGGGACATGTTTCCTTCCTATTTGCTTTTTGTCCCAACCCGTTATCACATGACGAAAGTTTGTCCAGAATAATAGCGGCAAATGAATCGCTGTCCCGTTGATTTGACTCAGACTGCGGGGTGGCACACAGGTGGGTTTCTGAGATCCAAAATTCAATTAGCATTGGATGGGATAATTTTTATTTCGTTATGAAATCGTGAAGTCGAGTGAAAATTTTCGCACAGAAAAGTGCAATTTCCCAATCATTTTGCTCAGGATAGTGATTGGCACAGCTGCTGTTCGATGATCTATGTTTTACCATGCATCTGGAACATATATCATTTCGTTATCAGATGACGGTCGAAATTTGAAGCCGGCTCTAATCTGTAGCCGGCTCTCCTTTAACTAACTTCTTTCAGCTTGAACGACCAGATAATTCTCATTACACCTGATGCGAAGTTTCTTCCTCCATTGATATGTTGATACGTGAGCTCTATATTTCGAATGTCACAAGTGTGATTTGAATGTTTTTCTCATCTGATGCACGAATAATATGAATAAACAGTGGTGGGCAAGAGTGTGGAACCAAGTGGATATCTCGGTAACCGTTTATTAGATACTCTCGAATTTTGGTTCAGGGTGATTTCAAATTATGGCAAATTCGAAAATGTTATTGCCAATGTTGGCAACATTCTGGATTTTCCAAAATTCCTGTCAACTTCATTATTTCAAATGATACACCCTATATATTTTTATGAATTTTAGAAAAGAAGGGTTATTCGAAGTCCAGAATCAATTATCAACCGATCAAATAATTTACCAGAACTTGCTCGAAGAATAACCGAAAAGATTCAAACAGGTCAGCCAGGGGTAATTGCTAATGTATAATGTTATGAGGGAACTCATAAACAAACTAGCCTATTATCAGGGTGTGAATGGTTTTCAGTTTGAGTATTTGATAAAATGAGTTTATTCACACTTGATACCGTCTCCTGTTTCAATTTATTGTTTTGTATTGATTTAATTTCAGTTTCATGCAAGTAAATATTCTCTTGTCAGTATCTCGGTTTTCTTTTTAATCTAAAATATTGTACCCTATGTTTTCGCATGGAATTTGTCGAATGACGGTAGTGAGGATTTTGAATAAAGAGAACACATCATTCATTGTTGATTTCGATCATAAGGTTTTTTCTTCCTGAAGATGCTGGTCCTATCACCAGGTACACCACAGCCTCCTGGTCTTTCCGTACATCAGGTTACTTAGTTCGTACATTTTTTGAGATACCTCTGTTGTTATTGACGAATCAATTAACGAATGAATTATAAATTCGCTGCAAGATCTTCTTTCGAAATTCATGACAATACATAGGAAATGTCATTAGATAAAATAGATGAGGAATTGAAAAGAACTGGAAACGTGGCAATATTGGCGATATCATTTCTCATTCTTTCATATTTTCAAATCACCCTGAGCAGAAATTGAAATGAATCTTACAAACGGTTACCGAGATATTCACTTGGTTCTTCACTTCAGCTGACCTCGCGATAGGATCTTTAGCGCATGTGCTGTGTGTACATTTTGCTATCGACTCCATACGCTACAATATAAACAGTAGCCTCAATTTACATGCAACAGAATATCATGCTTAGTCGAACGAACACGATATTCAAGGTGCTGTCTGCTCTGCTGAATATTTTTCTTCGGAAAAGTGAACCTTGGTTTCAATCCTAGCACTTCGGCGCCCTAAAAGTGGTTGGGAATCCCTCATGGGCACTTCCGGGAAGTTGGTTCTCAACTTTGAAGTAGCAACTTACAAACACAAAGTACATCTCTCAATGTACCGTATACGATAAATTCAACTTGGAATTTTATAATTGACATACATCTCTTTTTTTATAGCATCTATTGGACCAATATCAGTGGCTATCGATGCAGATAACATCCAGCTATACGTTGGAGGAATATACACGACCAAGTGTAAAACAATTGACATAAACCACGCAGTACTAGCAGTCGGATATGGATCGCAATCAACTAAAAATGGGACAATCGATTATTGGATAATAAAAAATTCTTGGGGTAAAACTTGGGGCGAACAAGGTTATATTAGAATTCAAAGGAATGCAGATAATTTATGTGGCATTGGATTAGAGAGTTCTTATCCAACTCTCAAGTAATTCATCACCTATTGAATAAGTATTCCATTTGTTCAAATCTAAATTGAAAATAAAAATACCAGTAGGAAAACATGCTGCAAAATCTATATTCTCATTTAACCAATTCAGTTTATTCATACGATAAAAACCTAGTAGTGATGGATATTCATAGTTCAATTTTTATTAATAAAGCAATAAATGGAAATATCTCATACCAGCCCATACAGCACATGGACATCCGATGGATATCAAGTGGAAATTTATTGAGAAAATTCTGGATATCCAATGGATGTTCAATTATTATCCAAAGAAAATTCCATGGACGTCCACTGGATGTCCATAGACCACCACCCTGAACGTCCATGAGATGCTCTTTATGGACGTCCATGAAATTTTCAATATAGACTTCCATGACATGAAGAATATCTTATGTATGTCTATGTAAGACATCGTCGGACGTCATCAGATCTCCATGGGTTTTATGGAATCTCCTATTCGTTGAACTACTCCATTTCAAACAAAGTTATGCCCTTGAAATGTTTCGAGAATATTGCAATAATTCATGGGATGTTTCTGAGTGAATCACTGAGCCGTCTATTGAACATTCATGAGATCCTTAATGTTCGCGGTGTTAACGTTTCCTAGAAATACCAAAGAAACGTTAATGGAACATTTCTGAAACATGGCTAACAAACAAGTCAAGAAACGCTTTCGAAACACTGAATGAAGAACGTTTGTATCTTGATTTTCCTTGAATATCCACCTAGTAACATGAATGTGGAATATCTTAAGAAAATATATACATAACACATATGGTCTCTATATTAGTGGAGTGATTTATTTCCGGCATACAAATCAGTCATTCAAAAAACCAATGGAAAGATGGAGAAGGAATATTCTAAGATGAATCATGATCATGAAAAAACGGATAAATATACCTATTCAAAGAAATACATGTATTTCTCCATGTATATACAGTGTGGTCATTTAAGTGTGCAACATATGGAAATCTTTTCAATGAATTGCACAATCAAAACACAGATAGTGCCAAAAGTTGGTTTTTACAATTCAGAATTCATTTCCACGTCCTGTATGATGAATATGTATTTCTCATTTATTCAAAAACAATAAAAAGATGATAAAGATGATATATTGAATCGAGTATTGAATATTCCATTCCCTACAAAGTGAGTCTGAATTAGATCAACTCCATCTTAAAATTTCTTATCGACGAAAAATAAGATTGACATACATTTCAGGATGAACATTGCTGACATGACCATTAGAATTCAGTGAGAAATCTGAATAGTTGTGAATATCCTTATGATTCACTCTGTTTTTATATAAATAGATGTAAACTACTAAAAAACATGAAGAAAAATAAAACAGAATACAATACAATCTCCATATCAATTTTTATCATTACTATTTCCCTACTTCTTCCTTGAATTGCGTGCCTCAACCAGTAACTGATGAATTGCATCTATTGGTACATAAAATGGTTGATTGAATTGCATTGGTATTTTTTTCATTTCTAAATTTTTTCATTTCTGGAAGCGCACGAGGAGGAATCTCTATATAATGTTTGAAGATCATCGTGCGTATCTAGGAGGATACAGAGAGGACAAACCCATATTCACCTGTTCGATATTCGAATTGCAAATTACCTTTCAATATTTCCATTCATCGAATGGCCCCAATGGCGAAATTATGTTTCCTTTCAAGCAAAGAACACTTATCAGCTAGCTTATCAATCAATCATTTTCTTGTATCTATCAATATATTTTTTAACCAAAATGTTTTGCAGCAAATATCAAAACTATGAGATGCAAAATACAATAATCAAAATTTATTGAGCTGGGTAATGTTTGACTATGTGTAAAGAGCGAATCAACTGAGAAAAATACACAGGCGTCATCGAAGACTCGTGTTTTGCTCTACTTCAAATATATTTCTGTTCTCGTCGCGCTGGCATCAGTGTAGTCTACCAGTGGCTTAGGCGTATCAAACACGGACCAAAGCAGAATGCAGAAATGAAATATATTCATTCAATTGAAAAATATCAACACAATTTATGGGTTTTTGACTTGAACCTTTTTTTTTAGTGAAACAATGAAAGCCTTTCCATCAGTTTTTTCTTCAATAACATTCATTATTATTCAACCGAACATATAACGAATATATCACATTCGTTTCATTTTAGGAAGGTTATGAGTGAATTTAAAAAACATATATTTGTTATTATGATGGCCGAGTGCTCCGACATTCTTTTCCGGGAATCAATCTCAATCCAAGGTTTCAACTTTCAAAATTGACAAATTTTTTTGAAAATTTTGCCAACGTTGGATTGGTAAGCTGATGATTTTCGTCCATTTCTTTCATCCTGGTTTGGCTCTCGGCTTGAACGGTCGACTTGAGATTGATTTTGAGACGGGTATGACCATTCATTTCGCAATTTCTTAAAATTTTCAATTATTTTTCAACAAGATGATAACTATTCGCAGTCTCTGAAAACAAGCAAATTTATTGATTATTGATTATCTTTTCTTGCCAGTTCAAGGAAAAATATTTATTCTTCAAGTCTAGTTTGGCATGGAACATGGTGGTACATGTATGATTTGATAATTTAGTGGATCATTGATCAAGTTCACAGAGTCTTCATCGGGGGAACTGTAAAGTGACTAGGAAGAGATTATTGGATATAGCCCTCACACAGAGATAACCGTATTCACGTGTTTCGGGCTTTCGGCCCTCATTAGTACAGTCGTATTCAATAAAAAAGCGTACAAGTATTGAGAAGAGAGGATTTCGGGATTCTTGTTCTGGTTGTGTAAAACTGGCTCAGCCAATGCTTTGTGTTTTTGAGAACCTATGACAACTTTACTGTCAACATTTGGTATGCAATCATTCTCGATAGCCCGTTTTATGCAGAATAGGATGACGTTAATTTCTCTCTGTAATATACTTGTACGCTTTTTTTTAATGCAACTGTACGGTGGAAGGAAGTGCAAAGGATAGGCAGCACTTGGTAGAGAACGAAACAACAAATAAACGGAGTTAATAAACAGAAGCAAGCCGCACATTTGTGATTTCAGTCAGCAGACCCTGAGGTCTCAGAGAAACAGCTAACGTCATCACGGAGGCAGCTATGAGATGCAAATATTATCGAGGAAACTGTTAAGTGACTAGGAAGAGATTATTGGACATAGCCCTCACAAAGAGATAACAGTATATACGTGTTTCGGGATTTCGGCCCTCATCAGTACGGTGAAGAAGTGCAAAAGATAGGCAACACTTGGTGGAAGGGAAAACAACAAATCAACGGAGTATTATTATATTCTTATGTAATTAACTATCATTCCTGCATATCACTTGGAGTCCATTCATCAGTCTGCACATGTTTTCAACTTAACACGATGAAAGGGATTCCTAGGACTGAGTAGAACTATTTTTCTGATTTATCATTGCCATAATTCCGAGACAGCTATTATCGCGACGTAGGTTTGTTTTCTGCCTTTTTTATCATTTTTCAGTGCTATCCACTGGGGTGCTATTATAAACTGAAGGAAATATAGCCCAAGGAGATATTGTGGAACATTTGAATCGAAGGATTGTGCAACCAGAAGAGGAGGACCATTGATGTACTATGCTGTGTGTGACGTGAGTAGGTTTTCAATTTATCAATCATTAACTAGTAGATCAATGGATTACACTTATCTTATACATAAGTGAGACTCCACTCTCTCTCACACTAAGGACGAAATCGTCCGTCATGCTTGCATAATCCACAGATTTTTATTATTATTATTGTTATTATTATTACATGGGAAGGGCGCAGAGGTATTCACATATTTTGCCCAAAACTTGAGAACATTGTGAACACAGTCACAAATTTCACATAAAAAAAAACAATTGGAAAGCAAAAACTAAATGAAAAGTACAAAATTCATCACTAGTAAAATAACAAGATATTGACATATGGAGCGAGATTTCGGACATATTTACACGAGAGGTTGACACATATGAATCGAGTTACACGCACTTGAATAACACGCACTAAACCCGGAGCACATTTTAGGTCTAATTAGTTATTGTTGTAATGGTCGAGTCGGTTCTTGAAGGCATTTATAGTTGGAGTCGTAACTATAGCGTCGGTTAGAGAGTTCTACTCATAGAAAAGTCTATTAGTGGGAAAATGCTGTCATGGAGAGGTTCTGAATATTGCCTTAGAAAGCTTCAGACTATGGCCACGGAGTCTTTCGTCGGTATTTAAGAAGGAGATATGGCTGAGATCCACAGAGAAGGTATCATTGAGTATTCTGTAACATTGAATGAGGCCACCTCGTTTTCGTCTTTCTTTTAGGGTAGTCAAATTTAGTGCAGTGAGTCTGTCGTGGTATTCCAGTTCGTAGAGTTGTGGCACTCATTTCGTTGAATATTCTCGAGTAGTACGATGTCTCTAGTAAGATTAGGTGACCATATCACGACATTTTACTCCAGTAAGGGGCGTATGGAGCTTTTATACAGTTGAACAAATAACTTCTTATCCGGGGGGTGGAACGACTTTCTAACAATGTAAGACGTGTTGTTGGCTTATTTTACAATGTTGCCAATATGTTCCGACCAAGTCAACGATTTGTTTATTGGCACGCCAAGATCTGTTTGTGATTCCACTGATTGGATTGGTACATTTCCAATGTGATAACGAATATACGGGTTGTTGCGACCGATATATAAAACTGTACATTTTGAAGGATTGAGAGGAATTAGCCAGTCGTTAAAGCATTCTTCCAGAAGTTTCAAATCAGACTACAAGTGGTGCGAATCAACAAGAGGGTTGCAGAATAATTTTGTATCATCAGCGTAGAGGGAGTTGGTGCAGTGCAGAATTGATGGTATGTCTGACGTATATATGAGAGTATGGGGCCTGAGACAGACCCTTGTGAAACGCCAGAAAGGACTTTGTGTTGGGTGGAGTAAGCATCGCCCACTCGGACTGTTGAAAATTCAGAAGAAAATGC